GGCAGCAACGGCGGCAGCTCCTGCCGCGTCCGACCTGCGGTCGGTCGCTTGTGAGCACCCGTCTACATAGTGCATAGCTACTGCAGATATAGCAGAAGTTGGGAGAGTGCAAGAAGATACATTTTCGGAGATACATTGAAATAATTGCAAGAAAGATACGATAACGCGCGAATTGAAAGAGTGGGAAGCGGACTGCAGAAGCCGTGTCCAAAACAGGATATAGGCTGGAAAAAGAATCCATGCTTATTTATAATAGAAGATTCATTCTTCAAGAGCACTTTGCTGATGTCCCAGACATGCAGCTAAAGCTGAAGGCCAGTGAGAAGTGACATGAATCAAAATCAGAAACTGTATCATTCAATGTGGAAAAATGAGAATCCGAGATCAATTCACATAAATTGCATAATTCAGCCTTATTCATACATTCTCAATGCAACCCATCGAGTGACTCGGTTTCTCTGTTTGATTAATATCATCTTCCGCTGGGACTGAAGCTTGCCATGGCTAACTGTCCACCAGCTCGCGTGATTGGCATTTTCGCCTACCTGGGGGTACCCCTGCATAGCAGCATACTTATCTAGAGCGCAGACAATCTTGGTGAATCTGGTAGCCAAATCAAACAGAGGGAATAGTCAGGCAGCTCTAAAATTCTGTGGTATACAATGACGGTGTATCCATCCATCCAAACTACTCTGTATATAATCCGAGATAGTGTAAGTGTGTCGCCGTCGCATTCGAAAGGGTGGAGGGTATACATGACACAAACATGCAAAAAACCACACAAAACCTATTGTGACAGACCTCTGCTTGCGAATTGAGTTAACGAGAGGACGAGGGGTAGCCGTGAATGTGTGGGGTCTGAAGGCGTTGAACAGCAATCTACATGAACAGAAGTAAATAAAGAACGACAAGTCTTAGGCAATGTGTGATGAACAAGTGTCGGGGACCGAAAGGAAATACAAGGGAGAACGCGCTAGATCGCTACACCAACGTCGGTGTTATAGGATGCGTTGAGTCGAGTTGAGCTGGGGGTGCGCATCATGCTTGGGCGTGCGGCAGGATTTGAGGATGAACGATACGTCATGCCAGTACCGGTTCGGGGCCTCAGCTTTGTGTCAGGGACTGACGGGAATTTCATCGCAATGTCACGACCGGTAGAATGATCTCCATTATGAAGAGTCATATCGCGGGATCCACTCCGGGGTAATCCCAGAGCCGGGGAGGGTGAGCTTTTTGACAACGATGTAGGGTCAGACTGTCGCATCTTGCTGGCAGTGGGTGCAGAACAATGATTGTTACCATTAATAGTACCAATACCACTCTTTCCTGCACTTCCTGTTGAGACTGTAGGCCGATAGCTACCATCAGGCGCGCGCCGTAGAATACTCTGTTGTGACAACCGCAGCGGCCTAGGAACCTGGGCAGACTTGGGTCCTGAGTAAGATGACGGAGGAGTACTCATACTAGTCGCAATGCTACTTCCGGCGCTTGTGGATCGGGTGAATGGAGTGCGCTTTGACGAAACAGCACTGATGTGGGAAGCAGGGTCGGTTGGAAAATGGCGGTCAAATTCGGAGGACATCTTTCGTGAACGCTGAGACAGCAACGAGGCGCCACTGGTACGATTCGACCCTATTACATCCGAGCCAACAGGAGTCAGTGGCATCGGAAGGCTGGCGCTTGACGACGACGATGGGGATTCTAAACTTGTCTCTTCTCTCTCGTTGATATGATCGAGATGAGCACTCGATAAAGTTGCCTTGCGACCCGAGGAAGACGCTGAGCGGAGCGACAAAGCTGACGCATGAGACTGCGGGCCAAATCCACGCAAGGACGCAGACCCTGCACTGCTTAAACTAATCTTCTGTTCCAAGGAGACAGGCACTAAGCGCCGGGTCCGGTCCAATGGAAATGATGCGCGCCCTTTATCATCCCGATGTCTCCCAGCACCAGTTTCGGCTGTTGAATGGGTATCGATACTGGCGGCACTGACAGAGCGGGAGAGGGGGTGGGATGACCGAAGAGAAGACGGAAGAGACTTGCGGCTCAGGGAAGTCGAAGACAACTGGCGAGTGAGTGGTGATGGCGCGTCTTCATCCTCGCTGGGTGGAGTTCAGCTTCAATTCAATGCTGCACTCTAATCGAATATTGACCGACTCACCTGTCGCTCCAGCCAAGCCCAGTCGTCAGCCCGATTCCGCCTCGGAGAAGCTTGCCATCCCGATGTCTGCATCGCCTTTTCTGCGTATCGCGCTCATCTTTGTATAGACCGGATTTTGTCATCACAGATCCCACTATGGTTGTGGTGAGGTGCATAAATGGTCATGAAACTAACATAAACAACTTACCAGTAGACGCAATACTCATGAGACTGCCAGGCCGACCATTTGGCGACGCCTGTTGTGATTGGGGTAGCAGTTTTGAGTGAGGCGACAGCAATCCGTCCCGCAACATCAGATTCCTGTGTCATCGAGTAGTTAGTTCGACTTCTATAATGCACACCAAAGGCAAATACCACTCACGGCAGAGGCGTGTGAATGTCCAAGCTCGAATCAGTATCACTTCCGTCACCCTCCAGTTCTCTCTCCAGTCGATCCTCCTCTTCTTTGTCGAAAAGCTCCATCGGCGTCCCAGTCCCATCCAACGGTGTCCCATAATCAGACACAAATGAATCATCGTTCCAAAACTCCTCAACGTCCCGCGCGTCTTTCCGCATAGATTCGCCTGGCTCGCCTGGCCGTCCTCTCCGTTCAGGGAGCGGGAGAGATGCTTCACTAGTCCTACGTGGATCGCTCTTGTGTATCCTTGAACGAGGCATGGAGATGCCTTCGCTGACGTGCCGTCTTAGAGCAGAGCGTGAAGACCGACTTCGAGATGCTGATCGAGACCGTGTGGACAATGCAGATGTGGACGACTTCCGACGTGGACGAGGTGTGGTGGCGAGGATGGTCTGAATGTCCGGGCTGTCGGATCTTTGAGTGTCTGGAGGCGCAGTTGATGTGGACGGTCCTCGCGCTTCCGTTGGTAGTGGCGGAAGGTCCTTGTTGATCCGGCTCGAGGTGCTGGAGCGTTTGGGGGAATTTGCAAACTCAGGACAGACAGGTGATAGAGCGGGAACGGCAATCGGCATCTCAACTTCATCCTCATGCAGCGGTGGTAAGTCTTGCATGTCGATGGAGGATATTGAGTCGTTTGGAGCGTGCCGACGACGACCAGAAGCAGACAGACCAACCTCGAGCACTTTCTCGTCGTCGCTGTATTCACTGTCTGAAACGGGCGAGTGCATAATGATCTCGTCAAGCGACATGCGGCTGAGATCCGCCGCATCCTCTTCGCGGATTCTCGGCTCGAATGTAGGCGACTTGTCTTGGAGCCGCGAACAGGTTGGAAGCGATCCGTTGGAAGAGAGCGTGCGGAGGGAGCGTGTAGACGAGTCAACGGGTGTGGCACTTACTGAGAGAGATAAGGAAGGAACACTCGCGTTGCTGCCGCTGCCATTGCTGGCAAGAGTAGCCGTCGAATTGCGTCGCGAATAACTTGAGGAAGACGCGAGGGAAAGCTTGGAGGCTCTGCGGGAGCGAGCAGCAGATATAAACATAAGCGTCTCATGTTCGGTTATGGGAGACGGGCCTGGGACGGGAGGAAGGGGTGATGAAGGAGGTAATGAAGGAGGGGGATTAAGGATGCCGGAGGAAGCGCTTGTAGGAACGCTGATAGGAGTGCTCAGCGGGGTAAATGGGGAAGCAGGAATGTGCGTAGGAGGTGCTGGAAAAGACGAAAGCAGGAGCGGTACGGCATTGCGTCTATCACGTAAGGCGGATCGGGATTCGGTCGTCATTGTGGAAGCCATAGCAAAGGAGGGAGATACGAGCTGGAGGATATATTAGCTGTTCAGCTCACAGTGGAAGCGAAGAAACTTTAGATATAAACCTGCTATGTAGCGAGTGAGAAGGTGATGGTCGTCGAAAATCGCCCAGCTGGTGTAGTAATGAAGAAAAGCAAGGTGTCCTGGGCCGTGACGCGGAAGTAAGTGGGCGAGATGGACGTCGCTGCACACAAACTGAGCAGAGCGGGGCAAGTTGTAAGCGCTCAACCGGGAGCTTTTGGATCCGATGGCAGCATGTGGAAAGAAAATGGTAAGGTAACTTACTTTTGGTGAAGTGAAAGAGCACGAGCTGTGGCGCGCGGGTCGACCAACACCGGAGCCGGTAGCCTAATTGTCTTGTGGACCACTAGTGCTGCGCCGGTTAATGTCGGGCACCAATGCAACCAGGCGCCAGGACGGGGAGGATTATAAGAGTGTTAGAGGATATGAGGGGAGGAAGGAGGAGGAGAGGGAAAGGAAAACGCAAAAGCAGCACGCGGGAAGCCAACGAAAGAAGCCTCGCCTCTTAATCCGGCAGTTCCCTTAGGTACCCTGCTGGCGCTACTCGCCCATCATCGTCTCAGGTTAGTCTCACTCCCGCTGCCTCCTCCTTGCAGGCACAGAAAATCCTGCTGGCCGCCCTCTCGACTTGGAGCCCGCCACTCAACATTCTTACATGCACAGCCCCGCCGCCACCAAGGTCATGTACCTTTCCATCGCGAAGGGCGCGCACCCAAATTGAAGATCACGCCTCTCTGATGTCCATCAACGGTCTTTTCCTCGTCTGGCTGGTCTATGTTTGACTCCTGGGATCCCACATTGCCTGGTCTATGCTACGATATCCATGTTGTCTCCATCTTGCAGTCGTTCTTCTGTACATCTTTGCTCAGCAATGTCCCGCCAACCGTCAATATTAGGTTACAGTATTTTTGCAGGATCATGATCGGAATACACGGTGTCCGAAAGAAACGTGCTCTGGTTAGAGCGCCCCGATAGACATACAAAGATGTCATTGATTGGTGCGCATGCCCGTATAATGTCCGCCGTCCCTAGATACATTTATCCTTACGCGGGAACGTCGGAGCCATTTCCTCATGCCATATGCGGTACATGCTTGCGACTGCAATCGTGGCTACAGGCTAAATGACTCATGCTGCTTCTTGGTTTCACCAAACTTCCTTCCATATGGTTGCGAACTTTAGACGACTCAGTACGACAGGGAATGGAAATGGAGGCTGCATCGTGAAGGGTCATTGTTCGCTTCCGAATGGGGCCAAACCCTGGAGACGGCGAGTGACATTAGCCTCACGACGAGTGCGATGGCGCAGGACTCCCAGGGCGAGGCACTCGGTCGCTACTCTCAATGGGTTGATTATAGGGTGGGGAACCGATGTGCGTCAGAGGATCATCCACTGTAAGAGGAGCTCTTGTTGTAGGCTATTTCTCCCCTTTAAGATCTCAACATTTTCTTGGCGTAGGTAGCGTGATGGGAAGTACTTCTACTAGTCTTCTAGTGAATAAGTTATTGCTGCCCTTGCCCCAATTTCCCATCAGTGTCGTACGCTCACCATTTCCAAGACGCCGGAGCGTGGCAGCAGCGTGCCGAATACGGGGAGAGCGCTGTCTATCTCTCGTCATGAGCAGATTCACGATGGCTGCAGTTTGCTCACGAAGAACAGCCTGTGAGAATGATCACATGGCGTCCCTGGAGCAATTCAGAATGACTTCCGAAAAGTATGATTATATGAAAGCCTGGGGCGAGCGGCGGACGTTGAGGGGCGATGCTCATGCTTAAGGGCGACGGAGGAGAGCATGAGCCCGAGGACGGAAATGAATGTTCTCAGCGGAGGCTCCGCCAATTATGGTCGTCCATCACTTTGTGATCTCGATCCATTCGATCGCCTATATGCCGATCGAGTCACGTCCACCCAGCATATCTCGGACTGGCGCAGCGTCCCACAAGTTGTATCAGGTAGCCAACTCGTATCCAAAGCGATTGGCGTGCCATCTCAAAAGCCTTGTCGATTTCGAAGCTGTCGAACTATCATGGTCGAATAGTATGTGTATGTCGGGATTCCCGTCTCACACATGTTAGCATAGCAAGTCTTGTGTGGAGATGCTCATCATTATCCCGATCTTTTACCCACATTCTCCGAGTTTGAACATTAATTCTTACTTGTGTTATGCTTATGTGGTATCGGAGCAGTTGATTGAGTATGACTGGGGTCGACTTGAGCGAAGATAAGTAAGCTACTTGGCATTAAGGACTCTCAGTCACAACTGAAAGTACAATGCATTGACGTTGATGCGTCGTACTTTGCGGTCGCGCTTACATTTGTCGCTTCGTTTAATAAACTTGTGAACAAGCCTTGTTAGGCATCCTCTCGTTAATCGATGTATAGTAGCATCTACAAGGCATCAATCAGTATTCCGACCGATGCTTCATGTTCATATATCGTATGTTAGTAGATATCTTATTTTGGCAACATGAAGCTTGGGCCAAACAATAGAAAAACCTTACGCACAGCCAACAAGCTTAGGGGAAAGTATAAGACACGTGTGGGGACGAGACCACAACACTATGCGTCATCTAAGTGCCGTATGACCTAGTAGACCCACTGCTTTATTTATCCCCTCCTTGCACCTTACCGCTGCTTTGCGATATACTTCTTCCACTTCTGAATGCCTTCTTGCTCAATAAGCTCCTCAGCTGCATAGCAGCTTCTCTGGGTGATATTTTTTGATGCCTTGACATGAGCCTGACGCGGAATGAGATGACGGCATGTCAGAGGGATTTTGCGCTCGCAGATTTTGCATTTTGGATACTGTGTGGTGCGTGTTCAGGGCAAGATGTGGGAGACAAGGATATCAGTGACAGAGGGAGGGACTATATGTATCGTGTCGTACTCGTTGCGTACGCGTGATGTAGCATACGCGTATGCTCGGGCCGCTATTGATAAACACGTGACCGTATTTGCAGTCTCAGAGAGTCCGCTCAAGCAGCGCACTGGCATGACTTACTACACGAACAATACTTTTATTTTCATTGGACACCTCTCGCTCATCCACTCGTCTCAAAACGGCCTCTGATATATCTACTAGTTCCATCCTTCCACTCTTCCTTCGCTATCCTCAACCAGACTGCTTTCAGTCACTGCTGACTGAAAGCCATCGCTTCACTCTACTCTGGGGTTCATCTACGTTTAACAGAGTTGCGACGCAATGTCCAGCATTTTGAAGGCTCGAAGTGCATTGGCCATCGTTCGTTGCGATGTGATCATGAGGCAGCGTCGTGTCTTGTTATGTCATGGAGAGCTTTCCGGCAGTCCGCGTCTGCAGATGCGACCACTGCATTTTGGCTACACCTCTAATGCATTTCACTCAAGTGCGGGTGAGTTCAAACGCCCCACCCAGCTTCTTTGCATGTACTTATGCCTCTCTTCGTCAGTGGCTTCGCACGGGAGCATAACACGTCCTGAGCCAGGTACTGGGTGCGTTTCGTTCTCTGGCTGGTCAAAAAATAATGTATTTGTGAATTTTCTATCCTCATGCCGTTGCTCGCAGGATCAAATTGCATTTCAAAGATTCGAAAGGCAGTCCTCTCAAAACAGTAGAAGTCAATGAAGGGGATGATATTCTCAGTATAGCACATGAACACGATATTGATTTGGAAGGTACTTCCGCCAATGTCCTCTGATTACTTGATAGCGTGGTGATTAAAATCCCCCCCCCTTGTTAGGTGCTTGCGAGGGATCTGTCGCGTGCTCAACATGCCATGTTATCCTGTCACCTGAACATTACGATTTACTTCCTGAACCAGAGGTTGGCCTTCATTACATCGAACTTGTCTCGCATTCTGACGCCTAACCATTGTTCGGTTAGGATGATGAGAACGACATGCTTGATATGGCATTTGGTTTAACAGACACGTCACGTCTTGGGTGTCAGGTCAAGATCACTCGAGAGCTAGATGAGATGAGCGTAACATTGCCCAGCGCAACGAGGAATATGTTTGTAGATGGTCAGTCGTACTCGACTTGACTGCTGCAGAATTTCTTCCCCCGCTCATTACGAATTTCTTTCACAGGCAAAAAGCCTACGCATCACTAATGTATCATCGCGTCCGCCATTGGACGATGGTACTGCATTGCGAATGCTCACTGCATGGTTGGCCTCACCACTTTCTAATTATTCTTTAACGGCATCGATATGGCGTTGCTGTCATTGGTGGCAGGGAGACACCACTGTCAGATGACAGTCTAAGCTTTCCCTCGTTGAACACAATGCACTTATTGCTTAATCACCACTCATACTGTTATTGACTACCATATATATGGTCTGCCGTGGGCAAACTAACCGCATATCTGGGATTGAGCAGCTCTTTGTGAGAGGTTTTTTGTTGACTGTATATGATGATGTCTCGTTGCATTGATACGTAGATATGTCGCGTATAACACGCCGCCTAGGTCACAAAATTATTGTAGCCTTATGTTATGGCTGAACGACATGTATGTGGTAAGTACAGGAAAATGGAAATCTATGAGACTGGTGAGCTTACTGTACTTCGGACCTCCGCCACCTTCAGGCACGGTCCAAGTAATATCTTGTGTAGGAACCTTGATGTCGCACAATTTGCAATGGATGCAATTCTGTGATAGATCAATCAACTTCCTGCAAACTGAGGCTTCACTGAGACCTGCCTGTGAATTGATAACCAACTTCTTTCCATCCCAGCCTCCTTCACTTTCACCATTCCCATCTTCCACGTACTCGTATACTTGCGCCGGGCACGCACGTCCCAGCAACCCAGCGTACTCGCCCACGTTCAGTCGCACGTGCTCGCTCCGGATACCCTTAGTCTCTTCCCACTTCTCCGTCTGTAGATCTGCACTCTGCACTGATGCCCTTGACTCCGCTTCCGCACCAGCGTCGCCGGCAGCGCTATCATACCGTCTCACGCGTAAATGTACCGGTTGATCCTCTGCATGGTTTGTCCCAGTGAGTGCTAAGCTTGTCAATAGATCCGTAGATAGCGGAGGCTGGAAAGGCGGATATGCAATAGGTTTGCATTCACTGGCACGACGTGTATGTGCAGCATCGCTCAACTTCGACTTATTGCGGAACGTCCACGGCGTGCGCCCTTTTAGCACAAGGCTATCAATGCCGGAATATGCAATACCGCCCCATATGCCAAGGGCAGTGTTGAATGATGGGCGCAGGTTGCGCACCTCATGCAAGTCGGAATAAACCCAACTTCTGCTTAGTGCTTCCTCGTACCCACTCATATCTGCGGGGGCATTTTTGGACTCTGTGGCTTCGTCTTGAGAAGTGATAGTATCAAAAGCCGCCTCTGCGGCAAGCATACCACTCTTCATGGCATTATGCGTCCCCTTGATTTTCGCGACGTTCACGAAGCCAGCGGAACATCCAATCAATGCACCTCCCGGGAAGTGCAGGCGGGGTATAGACTGTAGGCCGCCTTCGTTGATGACACGGGCTCCATACGCTATGCGTGTCGAATCGCCTGAAAGCAGGTCTACGAAGTAAGGGTGGTGTTTCATTCGCTATTTGCCGCAAGGATAACGAAGGTGGGGCGAGAATCAACGCGAGTGACCTAGACATAGCTAAAGATCGTACCTGGAATTCGCGATATGGGCTGAGATACGGGTTTGCATAGTCTAACCCAATGACAAGTCCCAGGCTGACCATACCAGCGTCCATATGGTAGACCCATCCACCTCCGTACGTTTGCCAGTCTAGTGGCCAGCCCATAGTATGGACAACACTACCGGGTTGGTATTTCGATGGGTCGACACGCCAAACTTCCTTTAGGCCTATTCCATACGTCTGGGGATCTCGTCCGTCGCGGAGGCGAAAGTGCCTAATTGCCTCCTTGGATAACGAGCCATGCGCGCCCTCTGCGAGCAAGGTCACACGAGCACGAAACTCCATACCTGGTTCAAATGTGTCCTTCATTCTTTCTTCGCGGTCAAGCCCAACCTCGTTGGTACGCACTCCAAGTACGTGACGGCCATCGGGAGAGTAGACCAGCCCGGCACCGGCGAAGCCAGGGTAAACCTCTACACCCAATTCCTCAGCAATGGTGCCAAGCCATGCAGTGAAGCGCGAGAGGGAGAGAATATATGTTCCCAGCTTGGCCATCTGGGGTGGTTGTGGGATGCGGATAGATCGCGAACCTGTTAACCATCGCATGGAAGTGTGTCGAGTGGGCTGGGTGAGAGGGTGGTCGGAGCGTTCTTGCCATGTAGGTAGGAGTTCATTTAGTGCGCGTGGCTCGATGACCGCACCTGACAACGTATGGGACCCTATAATAATCAAGGATTAGCATTCTGGACCAGGTCAGACATGAGAGCATGGTCTGAAGGGATGACGGGGATACTACTCAAGACATATTATCTGACTCAATCAGCAATTTGGGCTTCCTAGGACGCCTTGCACATGGACAAACAACGAGGGGAACGTCGAGCCGAAGTTCAGAAGAACAACACATGATGATCTCTTCCCTCGAGAGGCAGAATGAACTAAATGTAAACGCCGTCGTCACAAAATGACCCGCCTATAAACTGACCTACTTCGCTTCCTTTCTCTAGGACAACAACACGGATTTCCCGACCTTTCTCTTGTTCCAATTGCTTCAAACGAATAGCTGCGCTGAGACCGGCTGGACCACCACCAACAATACATACATCGACTTCATCTGAAGCGCGTTCAACGGCGGTAGGGTTGAAAATTTCTCTAGGTCTTCTGGAGGTTACATGCAACAGCCGAGTATGCTTCAAGACTGCTGGAGTGCATCTTCGAGGACGCAACATTACGCCCAAGCGAATGTCACGGAAATGTGAGAGTCAGAATAAGCTGGCCGCGCTGTGAACAGATATGCAGTCTTGTTCTGATTTTCTGTTGCTTTTCCCTGAATATGGCCAGGAGAGGAGAGCGTGGGCAGAGAACAGGAGATGGAGTTCAGGTGCAATGTCTATATCACCCGGGGTTCACCAGAGTGCACAGGGTCCCGAATCGAGATCCAATGCGACTTCTGACACCTCTATCAGCGCGTTAAGTGAAGTTACGATCTAGGTCCCGACAGTAGCCTCAGTATTCTTCTCGTTGCCTCCTTAGCTTGCAGACACCTGCGCACACCATTGCGTCCTTCCACTGTTATATTTTCCCCGTCGGACAACTCTAGAGTCGCTGGGTCGACTGCTCTCCTTGTTGTTCCACTTAGCCGATGACGGGTTTCGCAGCAATCCCTATTGCGGAAGAAGGCGGGGAGGAAAATGACAATGTTCATCTCTCTGGCGTAGCCAAGGTCCTTGGTCCACGATGGCTTCAGCTTCCTGCCCTCACGATTGGGCTTTTGGGAGTACAAGTATTTTGGTCCATTGAGATGTCGTATGGTGCGTCAGATGACGCTTTCAGTTCAGTGCTGTACGTCTTATATATGAACTACTTCGTAGGTACTCCATATCTCATATCTCTGGGTCTATCAAAGTCTGCGGTTGCCACTGTATTCCTGGCTGGTCCTGTATCGGGGCTAGTAGTTCAGCCCCTCATAGGTACGAGTGCGACGTCCTATATTTGTGATGGAGTGTTCAGTGCGTATCGTCCAGGTGTCCTCGCTGATAATTCCAAGTCACGATTTGGCCGTCGCCGTCCGTATATGATTGGGGGCACATGTTTCTGTGTTGCCGCAATGCTCCTGTTGGGATACACACGTCCATTCGCCTCCCTATTCACTCCCTCTGGTTCAGTAGCTGTACGTCATAAACCAGGAAATCCTCATATTTTCTTATCTTATCTTCTTCAGAATAATATTTTGACGATATGGCTTGCTATCATCGCACTGTTCTCAGTCGATTTCTCCATTAATGCAGGTAAGTAATCGGTGGATTACCATACCAAGTTCACTAAATGAGATTTGTTCAACAGTGCAAGCAGTTGACCGTGCCCTTCTAGTAGATACATTGCCATCATCAGAACAAGCGGACGGCAATGCATGGGCTGCACGAATGCTTGGAGTAGGAAGTGTCGCGGGATACTTCATGTCCGTACCGTTTGTTGGCACTGCACACTCAACAATTCAATGTTTGTTCCCATTTCAGTGGCAATGTCGATTTGACCGCTGTATTCTCTTTCTTGGGAGAAACCGAATTGGAGGTATTATCTGTGTTGGGGTCATTTCTCCTTGTTTCGATGCATGTGATTACAGCAATGTGCACAAAGGAGAGGATGGTTGTTGCCACGAAGTGCGTTCCTGGATTCGGCACTGTAGAACGAGAATCCAAATCACTGACTAGCTGTATCGCAGAAGCTCACGGAAGTCTCTCTCAAGAGAAATTAAAGATATATGGGATAATATACGTACTTTGCCATATGTAATTCGGCAGATCGTGCGTACTCAACCACTTGTGTCGCTGTATAAACTCACCGGGCTGTCGCCCATCAGTGCATCATTCAATTCTTGTAGGTTTTGCTCATTCTTCCGATTTGATTCCATAGTAATGTTTGCCGCAGCGCTTGGCTAGGCTGGTTTCCAGTGTTGTTCTACACGACAGCTTTCATCGGAGAACTGCACAAACGGGCACATCCCGATATTCCCTCTGACGAGCCAGAGCTAAGTGCAGAAGCCACACGTTTGGGCTCTCGCGCTATGTTCTTTAGTGCTGTACTAAGCCTGGCCGCCAATGTAGTCCTTCCGTTTTTCGTCAGCGAGGCGGGCCATAGTCAAAAGTTGCTTGAGCGCAAGCTGACAGGGACGAGCAGTAGATGGGTAATATGGTATGAACGTATTAAGGTTAATCTTGCCACACTATGGGCGATTTCTCATCTTCTTTTTGCGGCGTGTATGGCCGCTACCTTGTGAGTTTCTTCTCATGCCAACAGTAATGATCTATCCTGAGCCTGTATACCGCGTATATTTGGCAGCTTGTATTCGGGCGTGGCGGGTGCGACATTCTTTACCACATTAACTGGGTTCTCATGGTCTATAACACAATGGGCCCCATTTTCATTGGTATGTGACCAGAGTCTGAACTTGATTCATCGCACTCATCTGATATGATGGTCACTCACTCTTACGGGTTGTCCAGCTTGCCGAAGCTATTTTGACGGAAGGCGTTGCCACTGATGACACTGGCTCAATCATGCTGCAGGACACTCGCACGCAACACAGGTCCATGGACTTGATGCTTGGCGGCAGTGAACAGGAGCGACAACGCCTTGTAGTAAATGATGATGATGAAGCAGATGGCACATTAGAGGCTGAGGTACAATCATTTAGCTCTTCGGCCTCAATGGACGGACAGGACGAGGACACACTGCATGCACGACGACATGAATTCATGACCAACGCATCCGCACGGATCAGTCATCTTGCATTATCTGCGGACAACGCCATCCTTCCTGAGGGTAATGAATTGGAAGACAAGCACAGGGGTGGACTCGCCGCGAAAGCTGGCATCATCCTTGTTCGTATCATATAAATCTCGAATGAATTCATGCTAACTTTGTTATGACAGGGTATTCATAACATCTTTATCGTAATGCCACAGTTCGTTATGACCGGCATCGCATCCATTATCTTTGCAGTCGCAGACTCCAAGATGGCTTTCCCGGGCAACATGGAAGCCGGTAATTCAACTCTATCAGACGACGCCCTTGATCTGGCAAAAAGCGATCGTTCAGCAATGCACCTGAGTCGCGAACTGACGTTCATCAGTTCTCCTAATTCGTACGCTATCATCTTCAGGTAAGACCCCGTACTTCATAATGGGTCTTCTGTTGACACATGGCCCATCCGGCTGTCTGTAGATTGGGTGGAATTGCTGCAACTATCGCATTTGTCTTGACTATTCGGCTTGCGCGCGAGCTGCGGCGGCGTCTTTTATAGGAGTCGTAATTTAACTGAACGTTTTTGTATGGCGGAACTGTCGACTGCAGTCCTGATGATTCAGGTTAACGTGCGGTTTGATTGTCAAGGAACAAGCTTCGCTTTCGATGCGAATGATACAGGCCGGTTACGTTCTACGTTCGGCATCTGGAGTTATCTGCTGAGGGCGAAATAAATCGGCCCGGCTAGGAGTGAAGGACGTGATATAGTGAGCATCGTGCTTCTACAGCTCCGCCTCGACGTCTTATCGTCGCACGTTTTCGCAGAGCGTGTAGCGTTGACGTCCCACTACCTCGGCGTTCGAGCTGTGCTAACCACGTAATTCTACACCACCAACGCAATCTCCTACAGTCGATCGCCGGAATTTGGTCAAGGCTATGGGCATGATCAACCTCACTTAAGGCTACAAGCTTGTGTTGACCAGTTGTGAAAGAAGAGACAGCCTGAATTTGGGAACAGTAAGCACATCGTGAGGTCATTGACCACGGGAATTATTGCTAATATAGCCGACATCTGGATAGTGCAAGCTCGCCGTTGATTGATCACTAATGCATGAGCATGGGACCGTCGCAGGACATCTTTCGAGGGATGAGCCGACAAAAGACCGTCGAGTATAGCTGGATATATTAATACGAAATATGCGGAGTATGATATATGCAATACTGATATTGTGCGCGACGGGTATAAATATTCTGGTCAACAGTTGTCCATGCGAGGATGACAGTGAGGTAGTATGAAAATGGATGAGTCAAGACTACTCGATGTGATACATAGGAGTCTATCATTGAGAGTGAGATGCGGGAAGCTGGTGATGTATGAGATATGAACTGTCAAGCCAAATATATGCAGCATGTTTGCAGTCTAGACTCGCTGTCGGCCTTTTCGTACAACAAATAGTGCCCTTGAGATGAACACGAATAGCAAACCCAGAAGAGCACATAGCTGGGATGAAGTGTGAGATGAGAGCGGACTATTGAACGGATAATAGGCTGACCCCAGTAAACACGAGTGCTGGCCACCATGTGAGCGACTGTGAGTTTCCGTGCCCTTGACCAAGGAGGGCACCAGCAATGGGGTTCCCGGTGAGCATGGCTACTGCAACAACTGTATAGGCACAACCCATTTTGATGCTAGAATAAGGTTTGGGGTTCGACTGTTGAGCGAAGCCAGTATAAAGTTCCGCTTACCCGAGCTCCCCCATATTATTGCATAACGAGACGAGTAAAGACGGTATGAGGGAGATGTCTATAACAGCGTAAACCATTGTCCGGAAATAAAGGGATTTGAAATGACGCACATGCTCCCGATGAGAACCCAAATAGTAAGCCAACGAGAATGACACCCGCGGAAGTAGTCGCGCCGAACATGCTGAATATCAGAGCGGCACACATGAAGATAGATGGCAGGAGCATATTGTAGACTCCGAGTCGATCGGCCAGAAAGGGAGGGATGAGGCGTCCCAGTATACTCCCCGCGTTCATGATTGCTAGCTGTGGATATTGAGAGTCAAATAAAGCTTAAATTTCGACTTGAAGCTGAGCTTACACAGTAGGTCGTGATGCGGGCGTCCACCCCATGATCGGAGGCAAATAATTGCAGATAGAAGACTTATCACCTGTGTTCAAGACACGCGTTCGAGACCATGGGAATAAAGCGGGCTTACGAGGTACGTATACGCCTAGACTAGTGAAGAAGGCCCTATCAAGTGGAAGCAATTGAGCAAGGTTCGTACCTTGACAGATAGCGCACGCACCCTGCGATGGACCATAGGTATGCTCCGTCCCATATGGTGTCCTTCATTTCCACCCACTTCACCCGGGCGGTCCCACTCTTCACAAGCGGGCGAGTCCGCATCAGGCAGTTTCCAACCAGAAGCAATCCGCCCACAACAGCACCGCTGGCACGCACCGCAGTCGCGAAATTTACACGAGATGACAGGAAGAGATAGTTCAGCATGATGGGAAAGACGATACCGCCGGCGGAGGAGCCGCTCACAACGATACCGATAGCGAGAGCTCGCCGTTTCTTGAAGTGCTGCGAAACAATGCTCAAAGACGGCAGAAATGTCATGCCGAGCCCAATGCCCATGCCCACAGCCTGGGAGAGGAAGACCTGAAGGCAGAGTGAGGCAGCAAGCAGGCCGAGGCAAGGCCGAGACTTACTTGGTAGTATTGCTGCGGCTTGGCAAGAGATAGCATGAATATGCAGAAGACGTAGAGAAGGGAACCAAATATCTCGAGGTGATGGCTTGAATGTGATGGTGAGCCGGCATCAGCACGAGAAACCAGGGAATGTACGCACAAGTAACCGGCGTCGAATGCTCTTCCTACTAGGACGCCAGGAGCATACATGAGACAGAGTTGCAAACTTCCAATCCAGCTACGCGCAGGCGATAAGATGAGAGTATCGACATTCGACTGAGCAGGAACCGCACCTGATGTTGGAAGAGGTTTGTTGGGTGAGAAATTGGGTTGTATAATAGTCTGGGAGAGTTTCAAGACGACGCGAGCTGAACATGATCTAGGGGATTACCTTGGTAGACGCCAAATGCACTGATGTATCTACGGAGACGGTGTGTGAGGAAAGGCGCGAACAGGGAAACGGTATCACAAACCCAAAAGTCGAGAATTGGACCATCCATCTGTCGGTTGGGCTGAGCGTGGGAGGAGAGACAGATGTAGCAGACGGAGACTCACGCGCCTGCGACCGTAGACCAAGCACGAATACCGCCATCGGGGGGTTCGCTGAGGGCTGTGGAAGGACCTGCCTCCTCGACGACGGTGGATTCCTTGGACATGTAGGAAGAGGACAAGGTAGTGACCGACATGGCCCGGGGACCTACGCCGGACAAGGAGTGGAAGGGGCTGGGACGGAGGGTAGGCGAGCAAAGGGTAGGGTAGTGGGGGTGGAGGGGAGAGGGCGGAAGGAGAAGAAGGGGCATTTGAGATGCGGCAGGAGAGTTTAAGGGAGTGCCGAACAAGGCCTGTAAAGCATGCGATGGACGACGGAGGTCGATCAGAGTGAGGTGATGGACAAGACAGGGACATCGGACGGGGAACACAAGAAGACACAGCGTGCTCCGGGGCCATGGCTACGGGCAGCGGCCGGGCAGCGGCGTCCGAGGCTGGTCAATGTTCTTGCGAGGAGGTCGACGAGGACGAGGGCGAGGGCGAGGACGAGGACGAGATATATTCGGTCGCGGAAATGAGCCCAGCCATCGCATGCCGAACAGCGCGCCGGCCTCCAACCGGCAATCCAGCCTCGTCCGGCATCCATCACGGCCTTCAAGCTCGGAACGCGAGACATCGAGATCCCCACGCTTAGTCTACATCCCCTCACTCCTTCTCTCCCCTCCCCCCCTTCGACCCGCCCCTTGCCACTGGGCTCGACCGCCGAGACCCACTGGGCGTCGACCCCCCACTCGCCCCCACTATCTCACTGCGGTTCATACTCGACCCCGGCCTGGATTGCGCCCGTCCGGACAAACTCGACATCCCCGACACCACTCCCGCCGCTGGCGGACTCCCTCGCATCCACGGCATCTTCAAGTGCACCCACCCGACCCACGTCTTCGCGTACTCTGCTCGTTCTCGCCATTCCCTCTTCCGTTCAAACGCAGCCCGATACCGCTCGTACGACTCTCGAAACCCTCGGTCCACTCGCGACGAAAATATCAGCTCTCCTCGAGACGTCGACGCTGGTGGTATCGGCGATATAGGCACCGAGGAGCTCCGCTTTGTCTTGCTGGCGCTTGGGGAAGGGGATCGTGCTCGGCGCACCGGCGAAGGGACCATCGTCGTCGTCACTCGTGTCGAATCTGTGCGTCCAAACAGGAAGGAGAGAGGGTTGAAAGGCAATTTCGATCGTAAAGGCGGCTGGCGCACGTTCAGATGCATGTTGAACTGCCGAAGCGCACGGTTTGCGTGAGGCACGTAGCTGTGCACCAAACGAGCGCGGTTAGCGCAATAAGTGGGGACGTCTCTGTAACGTACCTACTTACCGGTTCGCGTAGCCAATTTTCTCCGAATACATCCCACTCGCGAAGAAAAGCACGAGTGTCGTCACGGACACGAACAGCAACCCCGACGCAAAGTAAGGCGGTACCGCAACTGGCGTGTCATCCTGGTACACTCCGGGCAATAAACGTTGCAGGACGGTTTTGTATGGAATGGCCAGGAAATCAGTTTGCAACAAGACCTCGGAGAGAAGAAACAATATAATCAGTGTAAGATGAACTAGAAACACTGCAGACCGAAGACAATACGATCAGGACAAGACACATAGCTGGTCAGGCTGATGATGACCCACGCTGGTACCGATGTTTGCGACGATTAAGCGATACTGCATTGGTCTTCAGCCGCTCTTCGAATAGTAGGAGGTCACGGTACGTGTCTGCATCATGGGTGGGGTGAAAGGATCCCTGCAGCGGTTTGGGGGATGCGCGCGGAGGCATCGGTCGGTGGTACCCACTGAAAGCATGCAAAGCAGCGTCGAGTCTCAATATCCAATCACGTGTATCCTATGACGTAACACGCATAGACGACGGCAGTTTCCGACAGCTCTATTGAGTTGGTACGTTGAGCGTACAATTATCCAGATTTCCGGAAATACAGTGCGCTACCATCCAAAGAAAACGCATAGAGTAGAGACCAAAACTCTACATAATTGTCGAGATCACCACGAATGGCTCAGTGTTGCTGAACCAATACAGTCACCAGAGACAAACTGAACGAACGATCAGCAATGGCAGCAAAATAGGACCAGCGTTCGGACCTTACCTAACCAAACCATAGTGACGGTGAGGTTGAGGAAAACTAAACCAGCTACACATAATAAGCAGCTCGCGCTTGCGCGGTGCCACTACCACCAAGAAAAACGGTCATCCATCCGAACATTGCCATCAGGAAGCGAACAAGCCACGCGGGGTCCGCCCCCAGCCCCAACCCAGGACGCAACTGAAGAGCCAACGCGATATCCAGTTCTGGTACAGGAGCACGATATGCCCGTCTGCGGTCTTGATAGACTACATCGGATTGATCCTCGTTAGACACCCTCGTCATGTCCGGGAAGAGGGCACCAGGAACTTTGGGCGATGAGATGGGGGACGAATCGACTGTGGATGGACTAGGAATGGCGAACGAGGGCGAGTCTGCGGCCCGCAAGGACCATGCGGGTTTCGAGACAGGAGATTCCGTTATTTCGCGCATTTGTACATTTCGAGGGTCGGGGGACGACGCGAGACTGCGTGAAGGCGGAGCCTCTGGTGTCAAGAACGGCGTCGGGGATATGGGCAGTGGTAAGAGCTCGGGATCAACACAGTCCTCGGATACAATGCGGGACTCATGCGTGTTGAGATCCTCTGGCTTTCCGGTGAAAGGGAAGAGAAGCAAGTTCTCCTGGCAATCCTGGAAAATTTCCTCTGATCCTGTCTCGCCGTCGAACAGTAAAGGGTCTCCATCAAGCTCTGACAGCTCGTCCTCAAGTGGGCCCAGCATCTCGACCTTCTCTTCTTCGTCCGACTTAGACTCCAAACTGGCATGACTAGGTTTTTCAGGAAATCCTTCCTCGTCCGTGCCAGCAGATTTAACTAGTCTATCGTGTGTCGGATGCGTTCCCATTATAGACCATAGTGCACCTATTACATGGGAACCGATGAATGAAAGTCGAGTGCAGTAAGCGGCGTAAAGGCCAGCCGTGACGCACATCAAAGAAAGAAGTGCGACAATGCAAGACAAGGTGAGGAAGAAGAGGGGCGACGTGAAGAATTCCAGAGGTGACGCAAGGAGACCATCATCAATCGATGTCGTCTCTGCCTTCTCAGAACCAGTCTCGGTTTCAACATGTGTAGGCTGCATCTCGTTCTGCACAGGACGCTCACTGCCGTCAATGTCGTCCAGACTCTCCGTATTCTGGCCATGAATGAGGCTGAAAAGTTCCTTCTCGTCTGAGCTGAGATCACTTGGGTCAAGAGATATAACAGCCTTGACGGCATCCAGTCCATCCAGCTCGCTAAGATACATCTGCTGCACCTGCGGGGAAGTCAAATGTACGCGGACATCTTGGTTATGACAGTTCAGACAATCCTCTCGACGACTACTTGTATGTCAGATTTATTGGAATACACATCAATTACTGCAGGGCTTACCTTGCTCGTGTCTGGAATATGGCCTGCACAGCATTATGGATCTCATCCGATGAATTAGTCCTGGCGGTAATAAAGACAGGTGAGCGTTGGTATAGTTGTAACGTAGGATCCACCTCACAATCTGTCAGGAGCATCACCAGGCAGGATTGGGCGAGCAGTAACGACCAGCGCAAGAAGAGAGAAAGAAACAAGGATGGTCAGAGTCATCGAGGGTTATCAGGGCTTCAGTTTGCAATAGCGTGGCTTCTTCACGGAAGACACACTAGAACTGATGAAAGCCTGTCGAAGACAGGCGTTGGTGGCAGTTGGGCCCACCTGCTAATTAATCACTGCACGAAGAGGCCTCGTGGCAAAGCACAACATCATGGCTGACCGCATTCGGCCCGAGTTCGTGACGTGGCTGCCCCTGCGGCGTGGCACATTCCGAGGCCGAGCCTCCGAAGGAGCGTGTCTTCAACATGTCCGACTGGGTATGAGACTTTACTGGCACAAGAGCGATGTTGGTTTAACGGAGCACGCGCAATGCGCCAGCTTCCCTCCGGCAGGCAATTGCTGACAGTACTATCCGAGGCTTAATTGACTACCTACCCTACGCCAGCATTGAATGCAACTACTGCTCCTCCAGCGTTAATAGTGACCCTGAATTCGGCAGCAAACGATTTCAACATAATTATATGAGCTTTCACCAAGTCCTTTCCCGGAGAACCGGAGAGATTGATATTGATATCGCACTACTCATCGCCATAGCTTCCATAGATAATATCCCACAACTGCACAGTTGGAATCGCCTCCGGGTATGCCTTGCGCGCAAGCCTAGTGTGTGTATTCTGTTCGTATGCATACGCATACGAGATGAGTTCGAATTCACTGAATGCCGTTCCCAAGAACGACAGGCCGATCGGCACGCCGGGTGCCGGATATACTGTCTCCGGTCCAGCAAGACCGATCGTCACGTTGTCCGGGTAGAATCCCAAAGGGACTATAAGATATCAAGGATTAGAGGCAAATTTGCGCCTTTGCCAACAGAGGTCATGTCACCTGTTACTATAGGGTATCCTGCGATGGCTAAACGCGCGCATAAGTGATCAAGACCACGAGTCATCTTATCGTCACACTGACCTGCTGGCACTGTAGTGAACCCAGGAGCAGGCAATACCAAGGCGTCAAGGTCATATGCCTTCAACGCGGCATCAATGCCTTGGGTTGCCCCCATTTCTTTGTCAAATGCCAGAGCAGCGTAGTAGGTTGAGTTAAATCCTGAGGTTGCTTCTGACGCAATCAAACTGTTGAAATTATTCAAAACGAGGGGAAGTCATAGTGAAGTAATAACACGAACATAGATTGGTCTGTGTAACGTGGTGGCTCCTCTAAGCTCGGATTATCATTGTTGAACTGGATAAGCTCAGCCAAAGATCGGACGCCTGAAGGATTCTCCAAAAGAGCGGCATAATAGGCATCGAGTTGAACCTGCACGGAAGGATGTCAAGTAAGCATCTATGTGGTAATAGCATCCACTGGCCTTGAAGTCTACGTCCAAAACGATTGTTTCGTTATTTGACGACACAATCGCCTCGGCAGATGGTAGGTCCGCAGGGTCCACCACCGTTGCACCAAGGCTTCGAATGATAGAAAGGGCCTCCTCAAAGATGAAGTTTACGTATGGATCGTTGCCGGTGATGGTGTCGTTCAAGAACACAGAACGAGGAACGCCAATCCGCTTGCCCGAGAGTGCAGTCTTGTTCAAAGCGAGCGCATATTCGGGAACAGGTAGTGGTTGTGCCAGCGTGAAGTTGTCATTCACATCCGGCCCGGCAATCACAGATAACACGATGGCAGCATCCGCAATCGAACGAGTCAGTGGTCCCACCGTATCTTGATGTTCCGATATAGGGATTACTGAAAAAGAGTCTGTTTGCGTATCCCAACTCAAGATATCTCACCATACCTCCAGCCCTAGATGTCAGTCCAACTGTAGGTTTAATTCCCACGACATTGTTGTGATCAGCAGGACAGGTGATGCTACCGTCTGTCTCAGTGCCAAGGGTCACAGCCGCCAGTCCAATGGATGCGGCGACACCAGAGCCAGCGGAGGATCCACACTACTGACAGCATCAGAATGGCGCGAGTATAATTCTATTGTACGACCTACCGGATCAGCGTGGGGGAAGTATGCATTGGTACATTGACCTCCACGTCCCGACCATCCTGACGCAAGATTACCGCGGAAATGAGCAAACTCTGATAAGTTTGCTTTTCCTATGCCAAAAGTCATTTCAATGAAGTCCATCGCAGGAGTATTTTACCCGCCTAAGATGATGGCCCCGGCTGCCCGTAATCTCTTGATGACACCCGCGTCATCTGGGACAACTGAACGTAATAGACTGAAAGAACCGGCAGTAGTATTCATTCCTATTATGTTTTTAAGAATGAGGGCAAGGGATGTCAGCTTGATTCGCGATAAGCACCTTCAGACGCTATAGTTCCGATGTTATCTTTCACCAGCACGGGGATCCCGTGCAACATGCTTCGCTTCCCATAGACGAGTCGCTCTGCGTCAAGAGCCACAGCTTGCTGTAGTGCAGATGGATTCGTTTCAATAAGCGCGCGTAACTGTGGCCCTCGGAGGTTGACTTCCTGTATCCGCGCAAAATATGCCTATATAGATGATGAAATCAGGTCGTGCCTGTCGACGAAATTGAATAAACTTGCCTTCACTAAGTCCACACTTGTGAAATCTCCGGTGTCCAAACCATCCTGCGTAAATATGGGGCCATGTAGATACTGTCTCTGAGTGAGAATAGCATACCTGTAACTCAGCGACAGAAGTCTCGTAAAGGTCGGGTAGAGCAGCACGACCTAAAAGCTTATTCTGCCTAGATGTCGATTGCGTCGATTTCGTAGACGCACAGGCCACTTTGATCGAACAAATAACCGTGAAGATATACAAAAGCACAACAGCGGAGAACGATTTCATCGTAGGTGGGCAATGTCGGGTAAGGAGGATATCTCAAGAAGCTATCCGTGCGCGCAGTGCTTTATAGAACACAGTACAATCGGTCCGTAACTCGTGTCTTGTTCATTTATGCGGGCCGTTATCTACGACTCCCAAGTATAATGGGTAACAGCCTGTGAAAGCGAGGCTCTCAGAATTCGTTGCCGCCTGATAAGGAGCCCATTCGAAAGTATGACCTACGGAAGCTGTGCGGATGGCCAAGGATAGGTGCTGTTCTAGATTACTAGCATTGTTGAAGTGGGAGGGAGCTTGTGGTGTACTGTGGCGACATCCTCCGGCGTTCGCCATGGTCATCTCATGATGCGCAACGCAATACAAAATGTGTGATTTTAAGGATGTTGGAACAAAGAAGATAGGCTGTGAATGGTATCTACGCATTATGCTTAGGCTCCTCTTCTGAGAATACTCACGGTGGCTAAATTCTCCAAGCCGGGACCACTCGAACCACTGAATTAAACTTCATTCGATAGGGCTTGTTGAAGTGATCAATCGGAAACGTACCGTTTGAGATCGCCGAATACATCGTTCAAGTTGTTGGATGTAAAATCATTACTGTATTCGTTAGATGGAGTTGACTGTTGCAGTGACCACCCGGAACCGTCGAGCATTCTGAGTGCTGAGCGGTGAAGATGATCCCAGGAACGCCCGATTATCGGATTTCTAGTCTCAATACCGCGCCGGCAAGGTAGCCGTACAGACTATGAGGGTGTGGAGAGACAATTCCGAACGCTACCCTGCTCCAGCGTTCATGGCCCGGGGGGACACTGACGACCAGGCGCTGACATTACTCGCTCAGTGACAAGGGAATATAGGGTCTGACGGCGAGGAGTGCGTACCGCTCCAACGGTATTCAAGTAGTTTAAGTCGATACACTCTACATGTATCTCTAGGCACGGGTGTAAACCAGGAGTTCTATAAAATAAAATAAAAAGAGTACTGAGCGATGCGCGCTACAACATGATTTTTCCATATTAGGACATGCATCGACCCGCCGAGTGGCCACTGCCACGGTCTTGTCATCATCGACATATGCTAGGAGCTCTGTATCATGACGATTCCTGCCAATGACGCTTTCACACTTGGTTTGACACACAATCCAAACCGTCTTGCACTCCATTCTTCTACGTCCAAGTTATCATTTGTCGCTGGTGCTAAGACACCGCACTCCGTTCCTCTCGAGAGGCGGCTCATGTCAGCAAAGCCTCGCATTGGATCGGACTCTGGACATCATACACAAAGAGAAGTGGATACGCAGAGTTCTACCACAATACGCTCCCCTTCGACAAATCGGAATGGTAGGGAAACGAAGTCGGATGCACGGAATGATACTGTAGATTGGGAGATACCTCGCAAAATACTACATTCCTCAATAGGTGCGTTGTGGATATCGGTTTGTGTAGCTCGACTGCTTCAATACAGCTACAGGATTTTTCACTCTGTATCTTTATGCTTCTCATGGTTCACCTCGTGCTGTTGTCGCTGTGCTCAGTGCCGGATTGGCAATTTTGATCCCGTGTGACATACTACGACTTCGCTCGAGGCGGTTCGAGCGTATATTTGAGCGATGTGTTGGATTTCTGATGCGCGAAAGCGAAAAGGTGTGTCTCTAATTCTTATCTTGAATTCGTATGTTCAATGCGCTCAGCAGAAGAGTACCAATGGTGTGATCTGGTACATTATTGGGGTCATTTTTGTCCTCTCTGTATATCCTCTGGATATTGCGGTGGTTTCAATACTTATGTACGCTCATAATTTGGCCGTATTATTATTCTCTGTGGATTGTTGTTTATTAAAATCCCTTCCAGTCTGTCATGGGCCGATACGGCCGCATCTACAGTTGGGAGATTCCTAGGATCTCGCACGCCTGCCCTTCCGCGCCATATACCCATCTTTAAGATACCTTTGGCACCACGAAAATCGGTGGCAGGATTTGTCGCGGCTTCTTGCACTGGCGCTTGTATTGCTGTTGGATTCTGGGGCTGGGTCATGCCTTTATTCAGCGGACAAAGCAGTTGGCGCTGGATTACCGAGGCTCCTATGGTTGTCGGAGTGTCATCGACATATCCTTGGGCTATCTATGGTGTTCTTGGACTGGTTAGTGGACTGGTGTCAGGTGTAGCAGAGGCTCTGGGTATGTCGTACTAATTTTGACATGCTACTGACCACTAACTCATAAATCTGCTAGACCTGGGCTCATTGGATGACAACCTCACACTTCCTATCATTTCTGGTGGTTGCTTGTGGGGCTTTTTCAAGCTCACTGATACTTTAGTTTCTTGGATGTGATTGCCAACTTAGATATACAATACTGCTAGAACCTTGCTAATGACTTGATGATCTGTACTGGAGTTTTTTGTGCTGGCAGCTGTAAGTCTGTTTGGGCTTAGCAGGTTCTGTGAACAGCACATATAGCTGCCACTGATTGAGAGTGTAGACTTTCAGTTAAATTATTATGCAGCTGGCACAGTACACAAGTTCCTCAGTAAACTAAGTCATGTGACAATAGACTCAGTAGTTCAGAGATTTGGCTAGGCTTTCAGAAGACTGAAGACCTAACAATTGTTGAGCCCCAGTGAAAATGCCACATTTTCACATTGAATTATGGCACTTTTAAGTGCCATATTTGATCAGACTTGATAAAAGTTGGTGAGAATTGATAGTTTGAGACTAAAAACTTGTGAGGGTGATTCTCAGGGATTGATCAAGTGTTTTTACTTGTGAATAGCCATCAATTGTTACAGTTATGAAGGGGGTTTTCTTTTCTTGCTTACTATTCATCGTTGACCATGTACTACCATAACTGTTTACATCACTTGGTATGTTTCATCCACATCACTGTTTCATATATATTGTGTTTCACCTTTATCACATTTCACCTATATCACATTTTACTCATATTGCATTTCACCTACTTCATGTTTCAGCTCCATCACTGATCCAACCCAGTGAAATGGTTTCACATTCATCACTGATCCAACTCAGTACATTTTATACTTATTAAAACTCTATCTACCTTACTCTATTTAAGGTGCACTACTTGTGCTACTGTGCTTCAGTTTTGTCCTCTTGTTCCCTACATAACTTGATAGGGATGTCTTCAGTAATAGACACAGTTGTCTATTCCAGTCTTAGCCTCAAGCTTGGCTTCAACCTGTTAAGGGACCTAATGACTGAGGATCAGGAGTTTAACTTATAACTGATACTGATACTTGTATGTGTGAGGCTGACACATTATACTTAGACTAGACTTGTAAACTGAGCCACTATAGCTGATAGTGGTTTGAGAGCATATACTGGTTGAAGCAAAGCTTCAGACTAGAACTAGATAGACAACAAGTTGTCTATTACTGAAGATGTCCCTATGAGGTTACATAGGGAACAAGAGGACAAAACTAAAGTACAGTAGCACAAGTAATGTGTCTTAAATAGAGTAAGGTAGACAGAGTTTAATAAGTATGAAATGTACTGAGTTGGATCAGTGATGAATATGAAACAGTTTCACTAGGTTGGATCAGTGATGAAGATGAAACACGTTGTAGGTGAAATGCAATATAAGTAAAACATAATATGAGTGAAACATGATGAGGATGAAACATGATATGAAACAGTGATGAAGATGAAATGCACCCAGTGATGCAAATGATCGTAGTAGTACAGGGTCAATGATGAATAGTAAGTGAGGAAAAGAAAACCCTCCTTGAGACTTTAAGACAACCAGTATACACTCTCAAACCACTATCAGTTATAGTGGCTCAGTTTACAAGTCTAGTCTAAGTATAATGTGTCAGCCTTACACATATTAGTATCAGTATCAGTCATAAGTCGAACTCCTAATCTTCAGTTGTCAGGTCCCTTAACATTTAGGCAAAACTCTCCTAGGATCACTAGTTCCTAGTTGCAGCAGTCACAGTGGCTACAACAGTTGGATGACCAGCAGTAACCAGGTCCCAAGCAAGACAACTCCTTTGTTATAACAAAGTACATGCATACAACAAGCAAGAGGTAACACGGATCTTCTTGGCAGTATTGTTCAGAGTCAAATTGCCTGAATAGGAGGAGAGATAGAACAATCCCAAACCATTCAGGATGCCTCTATCCTATTGGAAGCCCAGATGACCTCCATTCCATTGTACCCCCACTAGTGGAGAAATCCTCTCCTACCCCATCATATCTTACACCCACTGCAGCATCCTCTAGCAGAAGTGTAGCTGTTCCCACACCTCATGTTACATTCTCAAAAGGGAGTTTTTGTTAAGGGACCTAATGACTGAGGATCAGGAGTTCAACTGTTAACTGGT